ATGATTTAGGATTTATTTTAATATCTTAAATGAAAAGGTAATAAAGCATATTTTGAAGAAGAGAATTATATTATACATTACTTATCTAAACAGCTCTGCTTGAAAAATAGCATTTTTTCCAGTTTTATGATCCATAAAAAAAAAAAAAAAAAAAAAAAAAAAACACAATTTGTGAGGTAAAAGCAATCTTTAACGGTGGACTCAATAAGTCATTTTCTCCCACCACCAGAGTTGATATAAAAAGGGCAGCATGTGTGTTGAGAGACAGTGGTGCAACTGCACAATCATTTGGCTTATCACTCTACACCAGTGCCTGAGCATACAGTAAATAAATCTCCCAACTCATTACCGTTTCAATTTGAGTCTGGGGACTGTCATTAGCAGCAACCCCCTTTGGTTAAAGACAAACCGTTACAGACACTGGTTGAAAATGTTTGTGCATGCCTGCCGCGCAGTGAAATACTGGAAAAATAAATAGTGGGAAAGTAAAACCGGAACTAGAAGAAAGATGTTTGATCTCGTCCTGCTAAATATTTTGACTGCATTGCTATGCCGCGAAAGAACGGAAAATAAAAGGCAACGTCAAGCACGCTTGTTATTATGTATGCATAAATTCAATGCACATCCATGCGCACTATGCACCTAGATGAGGTTCAGAGGAAATAGAACATGATTAGGAGGGTGTGGAGAGTATTAAAGTGGATCATTACGGTGGCATTTTGGCCGGTCCCATTACTCTACCGTGATTTCTGTGCTGGGGGTGGGGGTGGGGGTGGGGGGGGGGGGGGGGGGGGGGGTGAACAAATCTGTAGCACAATAAAATCAGTAAATCCTTTTGATTGTCTAAGGTTTGGGTGAGTAACGACCCCCCCCAACACATTTAAACCATACTGGTCAGGACAGCCTCTCAAATTAAAATGAAGTATTTTTGGGAAATTGAAAAAATGCAATGCGACTGACTACAAAGACGCTAATGATCACAGCTGTTGCACCCGAGTAACGAAGTGGGTTGGGATGAGGACACAGGAAGTTGATTGCTGGGAATAGGCAGCCTTGAGGGATTTGAATTATTCGGTTTTTTTCATTGAACTGTGTGAATTGGTTGGGTTCAATGCGTCTCTTGGATGCATCTTTTCTACCACTGTAGGAAACGGAGTAAAATGTCAGTTTATTAACTGATCAATGTGACGTGTGCAGAAGAATTCCATTCTGTATGGTTATGTATGATGTAGTGCAGGGATCAGGGGCGCAGCATCATATCTAGATGTTCGTACCAACCATGTCCAATGATGGTACTGCTTTTTATATTATGCAAGGGATGTTATAACCCATCTCCTTCCCCCACCCCCTTTTGAAAATTTGAATATGGGAACAATGATATTGAAATAGCATAACAAGGTCCAAGAAATTGGTTGCCCAACCCCAAAAAAATGTAAATCAAAGTGTGTGGTTGCTGTGGTTTATCCCGGGGGAACCATGACATCCTGCCTGAGAGATGCGAGACTCCCTGAGAGACTACAGAGTAAATTAGGTGGAGAGACTACCCGTGGGAATCGTGCAAATATGCGGCTGTGTAAAGTAGAACTAAAAGTGAATCTAGAGCAGTCCAGGTTAGAACTTGAGTGCAAAAGAAACTGTTAAGGGGGAAGATGTTGAAGATGTGATACTTGCCTCAACAAAAGTTCTTAAACTACACAACTTTAAAGTAAAGAAACACAGAATGTGGTAAATTGTGCAGCCGTAACCTACATCATCTCAAAAAAATCAATTAAAGCAAGAACCGAACACAAACGCTAAATCTGGAGGAGTGCATGCAATATACTGACATTGAAAGGATTTGCCTTCGCATACTATACAGTCCATTTTCGGACATAAATTTACTTTTATGGGAGTCAATTAGATAACGCAGACTCACCTTGAAAGGCCTGAGAGCACTGCCCACTTTAGTGCAGCAGTTCCTCTCTGCAACTTCCAGATGTCTCCCCCTGCGCTGGAGCACCTGCAGTTTGCCCTCCAGCTCCTGCAAGTTGTTTCTGTCCCTCGAGGAGAGGGGACGTCCATCTTTACACTAACGAGACAAACAAAACAAGTCAAGAAATACACATATGCACGTGTGTCCACGGCACAGTTAGAAGCAATATCAGGGTATGTCATGTAAACAGCACAGATAATACAAAAACGTAAGTAATTGACTTTATAAATTTACAAAAATAACTTTTCTTGATATTATGCCAATGTGTATGAAGCATATCCCAGTAAATAATTATCACTATTACATACTATGCCTTATTTGTCTACCCTCCGTCTCTGAAAATAAAATCTTTCACCAGTATTAAGTAGGCATTCATAATATTGACAACTATTTTTTCTTTTTTTGGGAGATGGGGGCTTTTGCCGCCATTTTTCAGAAACATCTGAAGATAGACAGGAGAGGAGGAGAATAGCGGACGACATGCACCAAACGGTGAGGACTGCCAGGTTAGCCACTAGCTGTACTTCTTCCTTGTAATCTGCTACGTATGTGGTCGTTAATACAGCCTTTCCTAGTGTTCACTAAATATACAGAGGAGGAATGACAAATGCACTAATCTCTCATTTTCAGCTTCACATTGTCTTTACTCGTGTTTCCCCGTTTGTGCTGCCTGCATTTGAGGGGTTTGTTGATAAGGACAATACTATCCATCCATAAGTGCATGCAAAGATAGAGGGGCGGGGCAGAGAGATAAAGGGGAGGAGCTGATGATACACTCATTATACACAGGGGAGAATTCACAAAAGGATTGCGAAGCTATTGCGGCCACCAAACCTGCACAAATAAGACAAAAGGACATTTTCTCACCTAAGAAAATAGCAAATTGGTGCTCCTACGCTCTGTGCACATATTTAAATTATTTAGTATGTTAATATTTAATAGTAATCAATGCAAATTAACCTCATTGCAAAAACAGTCCAATTCACAGAGATCAGCTTTATTAGAAGCATGTAGTTTCAGTGAAACTATTAGCGTCTTCATAAAGTTGCTGGTAACTGAAGTGCATTTATTAGCGGTGTGTGTCATGCCCAGATATCCCAGTGATCTTTTGTCCTCCGCTTTAAATGTCATGTTCTTGTACAGTCTGAAGGTGTCTGTTTGCAAACACCAACAGCACAGACAGATCCCAAATGTGGTTTCTCTCTGTCCCGTTTAAATTCCTGAATGCCTGAACCTTTCAGGAATGCCTCTGCACCTCGTTGATCAGGACCTGAAAATGTAATTTTTCATTTTTCTCTCTACAAATGTTCTTCCTACCGTGTTGCTGGTGCAAAGACAACATTTAAACTTGGTCACATGGATGATTGCAAGACGCGAAAAGGGCAACTTGCCCTCAGCTCCAAAATTGTATTGGCGTGTTTACGCTTTACAATCGTTCGCAGCAATATCTTTAATGAATCGGACCTCGAGACGAGATGAGCGGTTGCAGGCGATGACAATTCATAATGATGTCAGCCGCTGCGATTCCATAAAAAAAGAAAGAGCAAGCATTCTATAACATAATATAATTGTTATTTAATCTGTAGAGGATCTATTATGTTTTGTTCAATGAAGTTATTACATGACGTGTAGATAATCTGCACCATGTGGTGATGTCCCATATTGCTGGAAGTGTAGCGCCAGTGCTTTGTGCCATTTGGTGAGACCAACCTTGGATTTGAGCTTTTCTATCTGGTGCTCGACTTCATCGATGTCCTCTGTGTTCTCCAGGCGTTCATACACCACGCTCCGTGTGCCTTTTATCAGATTCAGAGGCAGCACAGACATACCGTATGCCTGGAAGACAAGTGCAAAACGTCCATTACAATCACACATTGTTGTCAGAGTGGAGTGGCACATATGGCACGTGCATCCGCCCACACATGCGCACACGCACACGCACACACACACACACACACACACACACGCGTCTGCCTGATGACAAACAGTCAAATGTATGAGAAAACACAACCCAGCGTATCATATGCTTTCTTGGCCTCCCGGGCAATGTCATTTTTTTTTGGGTGGTGGAAGAAAGATTAAAATGGTGGAATCTATAATTGTGCGGAGGTTTATTGGTGAATTTGCTGCAACCATTTTGTGTGGATATCGCTGCCTCATATCACTGTGAAGCAATTTGCAGCTTAACAGTGCCCCCATGTGATAGCACCTCTATCCAGGACTTAATACACTTTGTATGAGCAGAACTTTAGAGAGAAAGATCTGGGTTAGAAGAGGGGGCTTCACAGTGTCATCAATATTGAACGACATGAACTGAAATGAACACAAATCAACCTTTTTCTATTAGAGGTACATACATTGTATGGATAATAATAGCAAGACATACAGGAAGACCTACACATATACATACATTCACACACACACACATATACACACACACATACAGTGTCAGCAAAGAGAGACAGAGAGAATATGTGAGCAAAACTCAAAAAGACATTTTCATCTATCAGAGGGCTTCAATCTCCGCTGCAATTTAATTAAAAACGAGGGACATCTCTGATAGCAGGAAACGGTCCAATCAATAAAAGGGAAAAGAACAGAAACAGGCCGGTGCTTTCTTGCTCTCCGCACTTTAACCAACTTGGAGAAGTGCCATTTTTATGGGTTCATAATAAAACAAAGAGGCCTTCAGAGCAAAAGAAACTTTCAGCCCTGTCAAAAAAGGCTCGGTCCACTTTATTCCATTTTTCAAGTGGGGGAAACGTCAGAGCCCATATTTTTCTAAAACAACTTTTACTAGTTTCTGAGTGTTAGGTAGCATTAAGAGAGTCGCATGGGATGCTAAGTCAGTCTAGACTATTATTAGTCTTTGCTGTGGATCTCTGCTACGGGCGAATGTCGCCTCCTGCAATGAATCATGGAGCTCTTAAGGCCGGAGCATGTCCCGAATATCAAACACACTCATAAAAGGAAAACCTGTCCTCGATCCCCAGGGAAACATTTCCCTTCCCTCAAATGTGCAACTACATGGGGGGAAAGAAATGAGAAAAAAAAAAAAAAAAAAAAAGTGTTCCTCTGCTGGAGTGAACAGTTTTAGTTCACACATAATCATGCATGATTGTTAAAGTTATTTTAAAAACCCACTGTGGTCAATAATTACCAGAAATAACTTGGAGCAGGGTGGATGGGAGTGTGTGTGACTCAGTGTGTTGATTGAGGGGGGGGATCACATCAAGACTCCTCTTTGTTGCTCCTTCTACTTGTGATAGTGGAGTCCAAAGGGAGGAGGAGGAGGAAGAGGAGGAGCCCCCCCCCTCTTACATTCTCAAGTGTACAAGTTGGCTTCTAGATAGTCCAACACATTTGAAATAACCAGGCTAATCTGCATTTAAATATATCAAATTTAACACATTCCCATAAATCCTGCCAGTTTGTCATTAATGCCACATGTGCCGGTTTCACTAATGCCGTTTGATGAGTGGGACATTTGGCTGGTCGAAGCAATGAGAGGGTGATCAAGGGCCATAAGGGTCATGAAATCACACGTCCTCCACGAAAGATTTCTGGATTAAGGCTGTTTTTGTAATTTTGTTTTCACTGTGTGCCTCCCATATTTTCCTTTAATCCAGATGATCGACTTATATATTGAGGAATTTAGAATTGAAGAGACGATCGCCAGTTGTTGCCCCTGACAATTCAAAAGGTCAAACAAAATGTTCCTTTTTCTCCTAAAAATGGGTTTTACATTAGGCTTTAAAATGTAATAAAAACTTAACTCTGGACCTTCCACCACATGTTCTGTATGTTGGTACGTTTACACATTTCAGGAAAGATTATGAAAAACCCTGCCATGGTTGACGGGCTTCCACCTCCAGAGCGCTCTTTTGGGTTTCTGAAGACAGTGTACCAAGTTTGACCTTTAACCTCTTCTATAATTACGGTTATTGCAGTAAGCCTTCTGCAAGGTGAAAGGGCCATTACAATCAGTGGCATCCTAATCATAAAGTTGTCTCACATGCATCATTCGCACCCTAATGCACCTCCGTTTATGAATTATTAATCAGTCAATGCGAGCTCGTTAATATTGGGTATTTGCCGGATGCACAACGGCTGCAGAGAGAGCAGGGAAGGTTAATTGTTGTGTCTGTTATCAAGTTACACACACAGTCGACACAAATTAGAGAGACACCTGCTGCCTGTGATGTTTGTCATTTAAAATCTAAAAAACGCTCAAACTGAGAAGCTGCTAGCCTACACACATATCTTGCACAATGCTCTTCTTGGCTTATGATAATTAGCGGGTTTAGCATATCCTTGTATTTTGCCAGCTTCAGTGTGTGGATCCCCTCACCGATCCACATGCCCGCACTGGACAGCCAGCTGTGGTGAAGGAGAGCTGTGGTGCAACGCTAGCAGGCTGAGGTGGACAAAACACAATCCAGGATCGTAAAGAAAGGATCGGATTTTGATCGGGTCTATTTTAGCCAACACTACGCCTGGATTGGCTCGGGGCTTCTCTGCAAGTACAGATATAGACACGGTGTGGTTGGCGAGTCTACGTCAGTATCTGCTGCTTTAATGAGTATCCCTATATGTTTGTTTTTTAAGCTTGCTTACTAGGTATATACACTTTCATGGATAGAGGACTTAATGACTTGATAATGCTCCTTTTATGTAGTTCTTCCCTATTATTTGTAAGTATTTTACTTTTTGAAAATGCTTAAAAAAAAGAGACTAAAAAAAAAAACTCTACTGCAGTGAATCATGTATGCCATGTTGTATTCAACATTCAGTTATAAAGTGGGAAAGAAATATGAATTCTAAAATCAGATTTAAATATAAAACATAGAAGGCAAACAAGGTGTGAAATGATTGGAGAATCCTGGAGTACTGTATGTAGTGTCGCACCTCTGATCCACTCAGAGACCCCGCCTCCTCGGGTCAGTCTCAGGGCCGGTGAGTTGATCAACAGATATTAATCTTCTCAACTTTAGTTCAGCGTCAGCGTCTTATGGCTGGCAGTTTAAGAGCAAGAGAAAGGTAGGTGCACAGTGGACAGAGTCATGAGAGTTGTAAGTCAACATGCTAGCCCAGCCTTTAAATGAAGTCAATGGACCTCACATGATGCATGAGATTTAAGAGCGGCCGGACGGCTCTTGTGTCCTCACTGCTGCGTACAATCACACAGAGTGGGAGATATAACAGAGGGAATATGTATGTGCAAACAGTCCAGGTGATGAGAAGGAAATTTACCATAATAATATCTTTGCATTATTAAATAAAATCCACACCATTAAAAACTGACTGCTCGAGTATAAAGTGACGATGACTGTTCTTCTCAAATCCAATGTAAAGCTAGTTTTCTTAAAAAGGTACAATCTCTCACAGGGTAGCCCGACCCAACCACTATCGCTATCAAAGGTGTTAAAAAACAAACTATAATAGCACACAGAGTAAATAGGACTATATGTTTAATCATGATCAATGATATATACAAAAAACATTTCTATGTACTTTAATTCACTTTCATCCCTTATTTATGTCTTAATTAACAGTGCAGATATGAAAACACAGAGACACAGTTGACATTAGAGTTACTAGCATTACGAGTACACCCACAGTATGTTAGTATATAATTGAAAAATGAATCAATTAAAATGTCTCTGGACTGAAAGTATAATGTTGGTTTGATATACTGTAGTTAAAGGACTTACACTGTACTAGAAGACCTGAGCAGAAAGCATACTAAATGTAGCATTAGTGGTGAATTTACTGTTTTACCAATAGCAACAGCATTTAAACTGTTAAAATCACTGGTTTAAGTTTAGCAGAAAGTAGTACAATGTGCTTTTGCAAGGTGTCTCTGTTTGAATGTGTGTTTATATAAGAGAAAGTGCCAGAAAACTGCCAGAAAAAAGCGCCAAAAAAAGCAGTAAAAGCTATGACTCGCTTCACTTCGGATTATTTTTAAGTGCACTCGGCTGCAGTGTTATATACTGTTTACATCACGGAGTTGTTTGCATTAAGGCTAGATGGCTACTGCACAGAGAGTAGTGATAAATGTGCAGGAGTCCTGGACTACATTTCCGCTGCTTATGGGACCTGTCACTTACATTCCATTAAGTTAATCAGGCCTAATAGTAACACGCGGTAAAGAATGATAAATCACACGGCTCTTTGTGAGTATGTGGAGGTCGCCACCGAGAAGAGTTTAGCAGCTTGGGAGACGAATAAAGTCGATGAAAAGGATGACAAGTGAGATAAGAGCTTCTGGATTTGTGTCTGAGAGGATGAAAAGAGGGAGAGGCGAAAGGCCCGATTGGCTGCATCAAAACAAGGAACATCTCAAACAAAGACACACTGGGAGTTTGGATTTCCACAGGGCATTCAGAGTCAATATCAACATGGGGTCAGTGCAAGTCTGAGCATACTTTCATACCGACATGCACTCGGTAATTACCCGCTCTTTAGAGAAGCAAAGTGAGGGAACGGTGGATACAATCCTAGCTGAGATGGATTATATGTCCTAAAGCGAGATTGGCTCTACAACGTAATTGACTCGGTTGTGTGTTATTTATTAAGAGCTCCGCATTCAATTGTTGTGTGATTTGTCAAACGGGACTCTTTGAGCTCAACAGAAACTGGATAGATTGGGGTTGGCTGTCACTTTCACTCTCACTCCTTTGGGTTGATACCCGAGTAGTTTTTTCTCCAGCAGCCACTGTTCTGTGTTACTGCCACCCTGACACCAGTGTCACCACCTCCAGGGAACATTCACAGTCCAGTTACCGAGATAACGGCTATGAAACATGGACAGCATTAACAATTGTTACAGCGCAGTCCATTTGTCTGATCTAGTAAAAAAAAAAAAGAAGGAAAAACTGCAGAATGCTGAGGCAATCAAAATATAGGCATATATTAATAGACACTGAGATAAATATACTGTATATGTATATATAAATAGGCAGCTGATAAGTGGTTGATAAGCTGGTGAAGGGTGCAAATACATCACGTAAAAGTCTGAGGTGAACGACGGCGGTCTGAGTAATTTGAGCAAGTGAATGCCAGAGCTCTAAAATCACAAGGCCACTCCATCACCAGGTACATCTCAACCAAGAAGATGGGTCGCCATTTGCACCAAAAAATGTTTATTTATTATATAATAATATAATGTATTACTTTATCAGCCACGAGACAGCCGTCTTTATTCTTCAAAACATTTCATATGTCCTATGTCTCAATAAGCAGAGGTCATAATATGCTACGGGGCTGGCCGTCATCCCATTGGATGATTAGCCTTAATCACTGTGCAGATACAGCTCGGCTGAACACGCGAGACAACATCGACCGCTGGTCTGAGGGTTCCAACTCACCGTGTAAGTGATCACTGCCAACATGCCGATCAAGGTCAAGGAGCTGATGGAGAACGACAGAGCCGGCAGACCATCTGCAGGGGAAGAGACGAGAGGGCCGTTAGAGGTCTGACCCTCTGACGGAAATATCAACGCACTCTCTGCCCCGTCTCTGCCACACTCCTGTAGACAATTCAATGGAAAAAAAGACTATTTGACGTATTCTAGTCCCCCCACTGCATATAATTCCAAGGAGTGCTGTGTTTCCTGCTGTAATACTTGGAGCCAAACCTGCTGTTACCAAACTGAAGATGGCATAAAGACAGGAACTAAATGCAGTTGATGTGCAATTATCTTATAGCAATTCTAATGAATGTAGATGGAAACTTAGGAATAGTTAGTTTTCACTGATTAATCTAGAGAAGGGTCTGAGTTATCCTGATTAAGTGGGACATCATTTCTGTTGTTGAGCTTTGTTTTAAGGACACTCCACTTCAAAGAAGTTCGGTTTGCTCTTCATGAGGTGTGTTGTTATCATCACTCAGCCTGTGAAAAGTTGTACATCTGAAGGAAGAAGCTTAATGATGTCATAGTGATACTATCAGAGCAATCCCAGCTTGGGTTTGATGGATACACAGCTGTATGAGAAAGCCTGCATTACAAACTGGGAATAGATTTTTTTTTAAAAGAAGTGGGGATTGAGCAGGTAAGGAGGATCTTTAGGGGTTTTACGGCAACTGTAGGCTGTAGTGTTTGAAAGTTGAACCAGACTGCGGACTACAGGTCAGGGTATCTTTTTATCCACTGCTTTCATTTGGATTATTCTTTTGGGAGTCCCTGGGTTACCTCTTGGTAAGGTGGTGACAGATATAAAACATCTGCAAAGACAGTAATGACATCACAGGGCCAGAAATTATGAACATACGTAATTGGACAAAATTAGGGGTTTTAGTTATTTGGGTGAACCTTTTACTGTCTTGAATGTAGCAACGGAGCCCAAGGAACACGCATGCCCTCAAACAGAATAACGAGAAATGCTAAAGATTAATAGTTTTGATTCTTAAGCAAACCGCACAGCTGAAGCTAGGAACACAGCCCATCTGGAAGGATGCATCTCTGCTTATGTTCTTAAGGGGAAAACTCGGGAATTCTTGATGGGAAGCATGTTATTCACGAGGACAGGGATGAGGCATCATGCTGGTATTCTGGTAGTCTTGGGCTTAATGAATGCACTGTAGCAAAGTCTTCCTCTGGAGACACATCTGGTCACCATTTTTTTTGTCAGTGTTTGCCATTTCACACATTGATCATGATCAGTTTTTGAACAGCTGGATCTTTCAATGTATTGTAGGTTGAGTTGACGTGTCACCTTTGATTGAGGCAGAGAGGGGACCACCCACCAGGCAAGGGCAACAGTAGGTGTCACACCAGCTGGAGTTAGAAGACAGCGATTGATGGAGAGACTGATTGCCTCCACCCCGTCAAGATCCCACCTGTTTTTTGGGGTTCCAAGTAAAAAGCTACACAGTTGTCCCGTTACAGCTATCCCACGTCCTCACAGCAGCGACTTCATAGAGCCCAGCCCACCTGTCAGCATGGACATAGGTGGCTCTCTGCTTGCCTTTCTCCTTGATGGCGGCATTTGATTTGGGAATATAGTAAGTATATATAGTATAGTAAGTATTCAGGGCATGCATAATTTGTGTTGTTCATAACATGCATCACTTTCTTTTCGAGGCATTTCACAAGCAGCAGGACAAAGAGGCGGATAATGGAGAGAAATTACACGGCTGCTCCCGATTGTATTGTATGCGAGAAGAAAACTTTTAAGTCTGACAGCTGGGTTGAACATTAACATTTGAATACACGTTTCCTATTCCCATTGCGATTTTGCTGCAATTGTTTGGTGGCAAGTTTTTTGTAAAAATAGACAATGTGCTCCATGTTCTGCAAGGAGCACATTGTGTCCATGAAGTCCACACAAAGCAAAGGATAGATGTTTGCTATTGTCTGTTATCGGAAGTGCTTCCACATCTGTACAGCTTTGATGCCAACAGAAGGGGAATGAGGTAGCTCTAATCTAACCCTGCATATATCTTGTGTGTATGCATGAGCTTTGTAGAGAGAAGCGTTTATTAAGGAGCTCCTTTAGGAGTAGCTAGTCGCTCTATGATCAAAGGATGGGATAAAGTAGACTGTATGACTGCAACAATGACCACATTCAGACCTAATGGCATGCGGAGACCTAAGCAAATTTAGGAAAGCTATAAAACACCACCAGAGTTGTTGTTTTTTCTATTTGTGTGGTTAAAGCTGAAAATGTTATATAATTAGTGAAATGGGGTTTGATAGAAGTTTGTGTTTAAGAAGATATTTTGGGCATATTGTAGCTTTAACCTCACAGTTGAGTAACAACTTGAGGGACGGCAGAACATGTCGATCAATCTTATCAAGATGAGATCAACAGCGTCACTTCAACTCCCCCACCAGGAATGTGTCGACTGAAGCCTCAAATGCATTTGGAAAAAAGTAATAGCCTCTGTTCTTATAAATGCTATTTTAAAACCATGGAGGCAAAACACACTTTGAACGATGTATTGTGTATGTACGAAGTGGTTTGATTGAGACTCTGAATTTAAAAAATACGAAACGTAACTTATTTCACAGTAGCTTTCATTTTAGAATTGAAGAAGATGTTCTGGAGGCAGGTCAGAGAAAACAAAAGATAATACAAACATGACAAAAACAGAAATTTAGATATTTTCTTAGTCTATTCATTAATTGTTTATGTATTTATAATATCAGCAGAGCCCTGAGAGTGAGGGACAGATTTAAGAACCATCTCACCACTTCTATAAACAGTTCACAAACACAGAATAACTCCAGGCTAATATTGCATTACAGTCTGATTGATACGGTTCAGATTTGCTCATACACATAGTGTACACACAACTGCATTTCTTCTTCTCTCACTGATAATGAACATAGACAGTGCTCTTCCATGTTACAGTTAGACTCCCACCCACTCTACCGCACCTTGGGGCATGGCCAAAAATACAAGATCGCACTGTCTGGTCTTGACTAGCAACAGTAATAGCTTCTGATCCGGAGTACATTTGAGCATCATTGTAACATATGCAACGCTGGAGCAATTAAAAATGCAAGGGGCCTTAATGAACAGTCGGCAGGGTTATGTGGCATAAGTGCATTTCCTTTACTTAATTAACCTCCCATCTGGAGAGAGAAGGGATGAGGAATTAGAAAGAGGATGATCCTCACATTTCCTCCTCAGCAGCCGAGCTATTTCCCACCGTGCCAAGGGAGGAAGGTTAGGGAGAGCGTGTAGGGGTCCGCTATTGTGAAGAGAGGCAGATGGTGCAACTTCCTCCTTGATCCCCGGATGGCAAAAGGCCAAAGGACTGTTAGGAGTCCACATTTGGCAAGGCTCCGTTCAACAAGTGAAGATGCTCATGGAAGGTTTCTCCACCATTACTGGAGTACTATAACTGGTGAATTTAATTTCTTATCGCACATTGATATTGAGGCTATGAAGTCACACGTATTCGTAGTTATTGAGTCATTCAGTGAGGGCTTGTTGGAAGGTTAATCCACAGTAAGGAGTGGACATCTGGGAATGCCATGTTTGGCAGAAACATATACAAATCAACATGAATAGTTTTTGTGGCGATTAATCAATAACGGCATGAGTGGTTCTATTATAGTTATTGTAGTTACATGGATAGAAAAGTCACTCTGTGATCTGCATGTTGGTGCAATCAAGACACACTATATCTGAGCAGATGTGCCTAGAGGAAATATATTTTACCTTAACCGTCCTTTTCCAAAGTTATTTGTGAAACGAAAATCACCGCACAATCAAAATAAGTATTCGCCGATTACTGTAATTTGGACATTATCAACTGTGATGCATTACTGCTCGTTCCTTTGTGCCTAAAAACTGTTGAATCTGTCCCACTCATCATTCATCAGCACCTATATAGGTTTCATAGCTTAAAGTAATCTATGTCCATTTAAAGTACTTACCTCTCATCTGACCCTAATGAGCATTGCTTTGATTTTAAACACGCTAACCTCCATGACCCGGTCTTCTAAAATATCTAAAAAAGGGAGAAGCGCATGTCAAGATCTACCAACCTCCCTACTTTTACAGTAGGCTTCATAAGGACTTACGGATGAGTGTCATGTTTCGGTTTTTAAGATTTAAAATTGTGCAAACCTGTCATCGTTTTGAGAAAACTTGAATCTGTTTTGTTTCGTCTGCAATTGAACCCCATCTAAAATGTTTAAAACTGTTAGACTAAACACCAATAAATGTGGCTGGATGGTAGTCGCATAATAGAAAGAATATGACAGAAAGAAGCAGAAAATATATAGTATAAAGAATGGATAGGAGCAATGAAAGTGACTTTAAGTAGAAATAAAGTCATGGTAACAACAACTATGAAAGTGAGACTCCAGCATTTTGTAAAGAGGCCGTACTTACGACTACTTCCAAGCTCTTCAAAAAGGTATTGTACTTTCTCCCACTGGGTGGAATTCTGACCAGGTGGAGGCTCGAGTGGAACGAAGGCTCTGAAAGCAATGAAACGATAATTCAGCAGAAGAAAGGTGAAATGCATTCGGTTACTTCTAAACACAGCACACAGCGCACCATATGTGCTTCGTTTTAGTCCTCGTACTGGCAGTGACACTTTCAGCAAACAAAGAGAGAAAATATTAAAGAATCCCTGTCCATGCTTTTTCTAATCATTCCACAACAGATGAACATATAGCGGTGTCATTGCTGTTGCTGAGAGAGCCAGAGAAATACTTTCAGAAAGATACACCGCAGCTAGTTCTGTTGGAAAACAGTGACGATGCAGCTTATTTCAATGCCCTTCTAGTCGAACATCTCTATCCCACTACACAGACCTTTCATGTCCTGTATAACGTAATGCTCAGACAGAGTTCACAGAATGTCCTCTGCTCCAGCAACGACACGTCTGAGCTCCATGGTGAATGTCGGTTTTCTTTCTTATCTGCATGCTGTACTATTGGACCTGCGCCTCTCTCCTCTGAATGGGGTTTTTTCCTCCGATGTTAGAATTCTCTTTTGTTATTACGAAAAATAAATCGTAAATGAAAAAGGGACTTGAATAAAAATCTAATAAATGAACTTAATATTCATTCTCGTATATCAAATAAATAATAATCGCTGCTGGATACAATGATACATTTCCTGTTTAAATGTGTTTACAGCAAACAAAGGGCATAAAAATCATAGAAAAAGGATCTTGCAAACTGTGTTATTGACGTTTTGCTTATCCACCGCCCCTTTAAAAACTGGATTAATTTCTCTTCTTGTCAATGGACCGTCTTCTAAACGCTACATCCCCTCCTATCCTTATTTGTAACGGAACAAAACCAAAAAGCTAAAGTTGTATAGCCTTCTAGATTTACCACTATTAACCTCGACAGATCCGATCAGCACTTCTGTGCTCAAACGTTTTGGTAGCTTGAACCTTTAGACCTGTTTCCTTGAAGAGGTAGATGAGCTAGTGTTTTGTTTATTGTAATATGTTCTCTCACATCCTGTTAGCTCCTAATTACATTAATCAATAATCCTAATTAGCCACGTAGACCCACCGATCACACAGACAGACCTACAGAAGTTCCTTTCAATCATAAGTTCTATAGATGTATAAATAGAAAGATGTATAAATTGTATCTGAACAGCTCCTTGATGTTGTGGGGAAACAAAAAAAAAAGTAAAAACATATTTTTGTCAACACTTTCAAAGCAGCACTAACATTTATATGTATGCAAGCTGAATGGGGGGGAAAGGGTCAACAGTATTGATGCTTCAGTGCAGATTCCATTAATCCTTCTTGACAGACAGCACAGAAATATGCTGCTCTGGGAATTTGCTCGGATACTTTCAGTAAGTTCAAAAAACTGGCAAAAAAGAAAAAAATAGATAAACAACGTTCACCAGGGGAGGGAAAAGGCATTAGATCAGCATCTCAATGACTTCCCTTTGCCTAACATGCAAAAAAGAAGAATTCCAGGTCTCAAAAGGCCTCATCTGCCCCTCCACCATGTGGAGGCCCTCAGGGCTCCACACTTCATCTCTTTCCTATCAATGCGTTTCCTTTTGGTCATGTTAGGTGTCGTTTCTCATTCTAGTGTCTGCTGTAGGAAGGAGCCACTTTCTCAAACTCGAGGTATTTCTTACAATGAGAAAAACAGAACAATTTAGGGATATTCATGCTTGTGCCTATATGACACAATATCATAAACAGAGTTTTAGCTCAACTTGTGTTGACTAGGTTTCAAATAAAAATGACGGAAAATGTGATGAAATTTAAGGTAAAGAGCTACCATCCAGACGTCTTAAAAGCATTGACCAATGATCTTCAGATCAATTTAATGTCTTAAAGTTTGAATATAAGACTAAGATATTTTAATTGTAATAGCAAAAATGAAAACGTATCAGTGAAAGATCAGGGGTAATTTAAGGAGCTTAATACCTGCAAGGTACAAAGACAACAAATAAAAGACATGAAGAAAAGACCTACTGAGTCAACAGTCACTGAACACAACCATTGTGTCTCTCAGTATCAGAAAAGCAGGACAGGATAAAAGCTATTGTGTTGCCAGAACAAAGCTGCAATAGTTCCAGTTTATGAGGTAGAAGAGGGGCTAAATTGCTTCTGTCAACAAAAAGAGTCCTAGCAACCAAACTTGAGGCCGTTAGAACCTATAGGCACATGTCCTTTAGTGTCCCAAAGCAGGTGAGACTTCCTCCGATGCACCGTTTAATGGTTGAGAGAGCACAATGCATCGTAGAGGCTGAACTCCAGGCATTCTGAGGTGCACAACCAGTTTAAAGAAAAGCAGATAAATGGGACATGGCTGAGAATGTGCTTCAATATAGATTTGCAGATATAATGTAAAAAAAAAAAAAAAAGTATTATCTTCCCTCCGCATGTGCTTTGTATATAGAGAAAATGCAAAAGAATGTAGTTCAGAATCCGATAGACAAGAATACAACCTATATGTAGACAGAGGACTAGAGTTTCCTCCTGAATGGTGCTGCTGCTGCTGCTGCTGCTTGAAGGGCTCCTCCTCTCATTAACTGAACACAATGACACATCCACAGTAACCCTTCCCACCTACAGTCTACTGAAGCAGAAGAAGCCATCCGTGTCTCCAACTTACCCAATTAAAAGGAGCGCTACGCAGACAATGGCGAATCCTACTGTGTACTTCAGAGCGTTCTTCACTTGCTGTAATAAAAAGGGAAAACTGGTCAATCACCGCCATGAAGGGAACAATGATTGTTCATTATTGGTGAACAGTGAGTGAGAGCTACACAGAGTCGGTGTGGATGCAGGTTGACCCGGCAGAGATAACACGTCAGTCCCTCCGCTATTCAAGGTGCTTTTAAAGCAACAATACAAAAGACCTCCCTGTCTGTTGGAGAAAGTGCCTCTGTCGGCTCAAAACTGACACACGGAAAGGAGAAAAGGCACTATGTGTTCGCTGGTGTTTGGTACGTCGCTCACTAAAAAGACTTTTAAAAGGTAGGGATGTTGTCAATTTGTCAAATTTCAGGTGACAATGTGCAAGCGGCACATTGTCACCTGAAATTTAATGTACAGTGTGAATGCAGTGGTGGGAAAAGTTTGACAATGGGACTCCTTTTAGTGCCACAGTATATCATTTAAATAGAAATTCATTGTTTTTCTTGTTTTCCCTTAGATTTTTGAAGCTTGAGTAGCTTATTTAGGCTTTTATTGATAACACAAACACATTACAATTTTACTGTCTGTATCTTCATGGCCTTAAAAACTTGCTGACTAAATGTCCTCATTCAACCAGCAAACACAAGAATACAAAACTTATTCTGCAGCACCGCAAGTGGTCAAGAAATCGACACAGTATCCTTCACTACCGGTTAAATATTGTACGTTGATTTTGACTTAGAACTCCAAATTCATATTTGCATAAGAAAAATTAAACTACGGTAATAATAGGGCTTGACAAATCAGTCGGGTACTATTATTAAAAATAACTGTTATTAAAACTTTTTATTTCCCTTCTGAACATTCAAGAAGATTACAATTTACTAGACAGACAGATTTTACATTCATGTTTGTCATTTCATCTATAAAAATAATGTTTTCTTCAGTAGCTGGGCACCAAATACAAAAACAAACATCAGGTATTACAAAATGACTGAAGAAACATATAATCTCTCATGCACCGTGCTGATGAAATCTGATTTGCACGCGTGTATTGTGAAGGTTCATGCCGTGTTTAAAGATTTGGGTAAATAAAAACTGGAAAGATGGACATTTGCTTTCATTGTTCGTCATGTAGAATGTTAAACTGGGTGCAATCACATGTGCTCGTGTTGCCTTAAGCTGGCTGGGAAGTTCAACTGAAACGACCTCACCTCGAGACATTTTGCATTAACAAATTGGTCGGCCGCACATGAATCATCTGAATGAAATTTGAATTCCTCAGAACTGCATGTGTAGACGAAGAAAGGTGCATTCTTACCGAGCATCTGTTCACATTGTCGTCATCCCTCTCCTCATAGTAGAAATAAACAAAGGGGATCCACAGGAACACACAGAACAGGATGATGGAGTAAAGTGCTGTATGGACACAAACGAAGAAATCAAATCAAAGAATTAGTCAAAGAATATGCTTTAATTCCCTCTTTCAGTCAGATAAATCATTTCATTTATTTATTCTAACAGCAGTTGTGAACATTTAAAAACATCATTTAGCAGTGAGAGTAGAAAGCCAAGGAACAATAGGACCCCGTTCCTTAAAAAAGAGAAACCTAGGCCAGGAATCACTTATTAATTGTTCCAAAAACATTGATACCACAGTGAAACAATAAGAAACTTACATTCAGTCATCCATAAATAAATGTTTGTAATGGTGCACATCACATTAGTCATTGTCTCTCTCCCTTCAAACTATCATATATTACTTCTATCTGTGCTGGATATTTATTGTATATAATATAACTTGTCTCAGACCGAAACACTGCAGAGCACCAACGGTTGTTTGTTTTAGATGACACTGTCCGATGTCACATGGGTGACTAATGGGCATTATCTGAAGTTGTCAGTTTGTGTCAGTTGACGCTTTGGGCAGTTGGACATGTGTGTAATATGAATGAATTAACAATATAAGTAAAAATACAACAATCATATACCTTCACAATGATCAAAACTGTACTTTTATGCTACTTAATAAGGAAAACAACAGATATGGTGCTTCTGCAATTCTCATAGCTGAAAATAAAAGTAGAAACCCAGGTGGTGGTTAAAGAAAAGAAAAAAAGGTGTTGACAAATCACAACAACTAATATAAACCACCAGAAGCAAGGGCCAATGGCCCCTCCCCCACTGTATACCCCTTACTTCCAGGGCCTTGCTCGGACCAAACCCATCTTGGAGCGCTGCCTTCATTTTGATCTCACCTACAAACCTGTAAAAGTTTTGCGAGGGACCGGGGGCAAACCAGGCCGGGGGCCTAAATCGGGGGAGCTAATGGCTTCTTCCCAACCTCCAACCCCAAAGAAATGATCCCTGAGGAAGCTCGGGGCAAGCTTCCATCAGAGCTAGTTTACCATAGAAGAAGTGTACATTAGAAATCTTTAGAAATGACATGTTTGGAACAAAGATGGGTTTTTGATGGTGGTCCATCACCTTACAGAGCTTCATGTAGGAATTTAAAGGTGACTGAATTGTTTGTTAAGCCAGGCATCGTATAGCTCTATGAAATCAGCTTTGATTGAGGTGGTAATGCTTAAGATTTTCATGTCAAAGTGAAAATTATTAAATATGATCCTCCTGCTTATTTTTAGTGACATCCATCCATTTGTGTTGTGTATAAGTTTATCCAGCCCACCAGCATTATTAATGGTGCTTTATAGGCTTTTCGCTGTTTGTTTAACAGTAGCTTAACAAGGCAGATGTTGATGTTGACCAGCTATCAAAGTTTTAAAAATGGTGTCTGATAATGTTTGACAAGACTTCCCAGATTGAATGATTCATCTTGGGACAAAAGGTGGACCAAAGCCACACTACAACAACGGATTACAATTGCAAGCCACTTCATTAACAGCAGTGTTTTCTGGTTTATGTGACATCTGTAAAAGGCGGTTAATAATACTACTGGGAGTGTTTTCAGTAAATGAAAAATGTTGCCGCTTCTTTTCTGATTGTAATCCGGAGCACTGAGAAGCTGATTCAAAAAGGCATTTGTATGTCAACACATTATCCTTCACTCAGTATCACTGGTGTGTTTAATATTGCTTTGGGCAACACTCACAAAGCCGGTACTCATCAGTCCCACTTCAATGTGGACCGCTGGACACGGTAGACGCAATACACCCGTCCGTAGTGAAAGAGTTCGCTTTTCTCTCATTCAAGCCTTTGTTTGTTTGTTTGCTTCCTTCTGTACAAGATGCTTTTTTTTATTTTTGGAGAATCCAAAATGCATTAGAAATTCATAGAGCGGAGGTGAGGCAAAAACACTTAAATAGAGATATGCTATTTCAGGCTGGGGGGGCTTCTCTCTCTGCAGCAAATGGATGTTGGTGAAGACGGCCCAGATGACCCCAAAATACCCCAAAGAGAAGCATGTCACAGAGATGTGCTCCACAACATGGCCGGCACAGCCCAATGCCTCCTCGAGGTGATAATGTGAATCATCAGTGCACGTCACAATGGGATGCCAAATAAAAAAAAAACCTGCACGTCAGCTGAATTAAACACAATCGAAACATAGAACCGTTATTGTATAAAGAGATTCAGGACTACACAGAAGGCACAACAACTGAATACATGCCATTAGAGCATGATAAACTACACAACAATTGTAAACTGAATATTGATCTTGATAAGCATTTAATCCATAACATCCGTACTACACTTCAACTGCAATGTACAAACAACCGCTCCATATCCCTCCCCTGTGAGTTGGACTATATTTCCCAAAATGCTCTCTCTCCTGCAGACAAATGTCATCGGAATAGCGGCTTGCTTTTTGCCAGCTGTGATTGTGACAAGGCATTACTTTCAATAAGCACATGCTCATTGCTCCACTAACGTATCCATTTACACTCATTTACAGCTGGGAACGCAGAGCTTAGGATGACGCCAGGAGCCAATAAGATGGGTTAAAGCATTGGGTGATATTAATCATAACACCATGAATATTAACATACTGAGAGAATAGGTCATACTGCTTTACCACACATCATCCATTACTCTCGGAGCAGATCTTGTACTGGGAAGAAGGCCTGACCAGGGATAGAAGTTTAGCACATTTATCCCCCTGACAGAGAGCACAGGATAAATAATTCATTGTCCTCCCTCCACACTTTATATAGCTCTTGTGTTCAAATATAGCATGGACCCCAATTTACTCGTAAGGGGAAGCAAAAAACAAATTAAAGAAAACATATTTTGAAAGGTTTTGGGAGAGGTGGCCATAAAAGCGTTCCATCTACCGACGGAGTGCCAGCTGGGGAAATAATGCGAGGACATCCACACAGGCAGTAGTCAATAGCTCATTATATTTTAATAATCATTTGTGGCAGTTTACAACAATTATAACTATTACAAACTCTCAATCAGAGCAGTAGTTTCACTCCTAATGAGAAGCATTAGAGCCGTGTCCTCACCTTACTGTGGCTCTCCACAGAGACATTAGCACCTGGACTCCTGTCCCTGGCAGACAGGCAAAATCTATTACATTTTTTTGGGGGGGGGAAATTAAATGCCAGGGGAGATTTTGCACAGAAACACCGACTCTAACAAAAGGACTCCAGAGACTGATGAAAATATATGTCTGTACAGACACTTGCTGAAAGCTATGACACTCTGAGCTAGCACTCTCATTTTCAGTCAAAATCAGGGAAGGCTATATTTCTTTCTGGGGGGCTAACATGGGATAAAACACGAGTGAATATTAAGTATTAAAATATGAAGGAATTCAAATGTGATGGCCGTGTTGCTCCGTTTTTGTTGGATGAGTGTCTAAACACACGTTTGCCAACATTCAAGACAAAGGAACTTGATACGATGATGGATTATCAAGGCTCATTTGCTGCAAGTATGTGTTGGAGTCATTCTTAAAGCCACCTAATGCAGTTTTTTTTTTTTTGCTTTATTTTGCTTTTATTGGGCAGAGCACAGTGTAGAGGCAGACTGGAGAAAGGTCTTTGCACCAGGGACTTTGCAGTTGCGTGGCATGCGCTGTGTAATTGCTGCTTTTAACTACATTTACAATCTGTATACAACCAAGAAAGAGCAGGGCCAGATCAACATGCGTATGTATGAGTATGCAAATGTGGGCTATATTATTAGTATTTTAATATCAAACTCAAAGTGCTTGACAGAGAGCAAAAACAAACATGGTCAATCCTATTTCTAATTGTTTGTTCTACTATTTAACCTACGTCATGGCAAAGTCATGGCATGGCACGAGCATCAGAATGAGGAAGAACGGGGATTTAAGTGACTTTGAACATGGCATGGTTGTTGGTGCCAGACGGGCTGGTCTGAGTGTTTCAAAAACTGCCGATCTACTGGGATTTTCACGCACAACAATCTCTAGGGTTTACAGAGAATGGTCCGAAAAAGAGAAAATATCCAGTGAACGGCAGTTGTGTGGACGACAATGCCTTGTTGATGTCAGTGGTCAGAGGAGAATGGGCAGATGGTCGGGTCAGAATTTGGCATAAACAACATGAAAGCATGGATCCATCCTGCCTTGTATCAACGGTTCAGGCTGCTGGTGGTGGTGTAATGGTGTGGGGGATATTTTCTTGGCCCCTTAGTACCAATTGAGCATCGTTTAAACGCCACAGTCAGTATTGTTGCTGATCATGTCCATCCCTTTATGACCACAGTGAACCCATCTTCTGATGGCTACTTCCAGCAGGATAATGCAGCATGTCACAAAGCTCAAATCATCTCAAACTGCTTTCTTGAACATGACAATGAGTTCACTGTACTCCAATGGCCTCCACAGTCACCACATCTCAATCCAATAGAGCACCTTTGGAATGTGGTGGAACGGGAGATTCGCATTCATGGATGTGCAGCCGACAAATCTGCAGCAACTGCATGATGCCGTCATGTCAATATGGACCAAAATCTGTAATGAATGTTTCCAACACCTTGTTGAATCTATGCTACGAAGAATTAAGGCAGTTCTGAAGGCAAAAGGGGGTCCAACCTGGTACTAGCAAGGTGTACCTAATAAAGTGGCTGGTGAGTGTATGTTGAGACATCTCTTCACTAGCCAAAGAAGAAGGAAGCTTGCATTATCTGGCCAACAGACTCTTGAAACAAACATTTTTTTTAACATGTATTGACTCCAAACATTACTTGTAAGATGGCAGCAAGTGGTGAACCTAACTCCAGACTTCTATGTGGAAACCTAGAGCTCATCTCTAGCGCCCAGCCGCATGTTACTCTAGTTTGTTGCCATCTGCTTGTGACAATGGACTGTCACCAAATGAAACATCCTGTTTGTTTCACTTCACAGCTCAACGGCATATTGTGTTTGGTTGAAAAGAAGCCCCCCGTATACCCACTATAGGACAAATGGACTCCACAGGGCTCCT